GACCCTCCTCCTCCTCCATGGGGATCACCAGCAGGACCCTCATCCTCTGCAGGAACCAGCCCTGGAACTCCAAGCCCACAGGCAAGCTTGGAGCAGAGTTCCCCAAGCACAAAGACAGCAGGACAGGGATGACATAAACCACACACAGCCCCAAGGAACCCTGCCCGGGGCAGCTTCAGCCCAGCTTGGCTACAACTTCTCCTTTCTGATAAGAAAACTCTCAGATAAGGAAATGCATCACTGGCAGCTACACCTAAGTGTGCCAGGACAATTTTGCCTGCTGGTACTAGCAGCTTCTACAGTCCTGTCAGATGTTGGAAGTTGTGAAAGGAGGACTGGAATGCAGCCCTCTTCAAAGGAAAGTTGTTGTAGGATTTTGTGAGAAGATGACTGAACTCAGCAGGCTTCACCAGGCTCCCAAAGCCAAGCCCAGTACCACACAGAATCTGGAACAGGTGACAAGCATTAGCCACTTGCTGAAAAGAAAAACAGGTTTGAAAATTAATATCTTTTTCCACAGAAACAAGAAAAAAAACCCAAAAACATACCTACTCACCTGGTTTCATAAAGCAGTGTATGAAACATGAGAAAATACCCAAGCAAATCACCCCTAACACCCATCTCATTCTGTGATAATACAATCAACAGCACTTTCACACTTGAGCACATCCAAGCTCACACATCTCCCAGGGAAATTCTTTAAACAGATCTAAGCACAATTTAGTTTAAATGTAACATTTTACCCAAAGCTGCCCCCTGTATCTGCTGAATTCAGTCATAGCAGAGAGCAGATTTAGCAGCAGCTCTGTTACCAAACTCTGTCTCATGCTGGGGAGGACCAAAGCATCACCTGCCTTCCCACTTGATTTTAGGTGAAAAAAATCTATATTAACTGACTGCCACAAATTCCATTAAAAATTTAAAAAAGCCATTCTAGGTGCTCTGCCACCAGAGATGAAGGGAACAGGAAGCATTACCCAGTCTTAACTCTGCATTAGGATCCCAACTGTGTGATTAAAATAAGAACACAAAACATTCATTTTCCTCCTCAAGGGATTTAGTCAGCATTACCAACTAATATCCCACTGCTTCAGAATAACATAGATTTATTACTATTGCTCTGTAATATTTTATTCTTTCACTGTTTCCTTGGGGAAGGTATTTGAGAGCAGTTGAAAAACCCAAATTTAATTGCCTCCAGTTCATAACTTCTATCTGAAGTCACAGATGTAAAAGGATTCCTACTGTGAGAAAAGGTCAAGATAAAGTAAAAATGGAAATGCTCCCATCTCCCAGCAATTACTCCAGAAGACAAAACCTGAGATTATCATGAAGCTGTCAAAAAACAGATTGGAGAAGCACAGGCTGTTTTTGCAGACTGAAATCAGTGAGCAGGCAGACACTGAGTGCATCTGCAGGGAAACATTTCCCATCCAGCAGCCCTGGTAATGCACCCAGTGAATTCCCCAGCACCAGGAGCCTTCCCCTGCTCCAACAGCCTGGCAGAAACAGGATCCAGAGCTCAGCTTGCAGGACAAACCACTGCAGCCTCATCACACCCATTGTTTCTCTTCATAATGATAGCAATTAGTTCTCTTAAGTACATATTAGCCTACTTTTAAGGAACATGGCTGAAAGACATGCATAGCTATCAATTGACAAGAGGATATTTTAATGACTTGATGTGCTCCTGACCTAGAAATGCAAACTACATATACATCTCTTTCATATTATTATCTGTGATAAAGGTAGCACAATTAATCCAGACCAATAAAAGGCTATGCTTAAATTCACTTTGTAGGAATGATCAAGATCTGAGGTGTTAATTGGAACAGGTTATGTGCAATGAAACTCTCTATTTCTCAGAGAAAATGCATGATAAAACTGCAAACAGGTGATGTTAACTCAAGGGCCTGGGTTTGTTCTTTGTGTTGCTGTTGCTCTGTTCCCCTTAGGAAAGCCCAAAGAATGGTGTGGAGTCACTTGAGCAGTGGTGTGTAGTTGAGGATAAACTTTTCCAGCATGAGAAAACAGCAAACACCAAGGTCCAACACAGAAACCAAGTGCCAGTACTTTCTCAAATCCTTTGTGAGAATTATTTCTCACAGCAGATGAAAGCACTTTACCTTCTTCAATAACAACTTTATTTTAACTTCTTAAATTACCTGATTTCAGTTTTTTTCTGTTATAGAATGGGTATTTTTTAGAACAAACTACACAAAGCATTGCCACCAGCCCCTGGAGGAACACCACAGACTGTTCTCCTCTCCCAACCAAGTGTGGCTACAAGATTCCACGACTTGGCATCATCTGATGTCATGGGCAGCACACTCAAACAAGCAGAAGCCATTCACACATCTGATTTTCTCTGGATGTTCCAAATGTTTTGAAGGTTAAGCTGATTGTCTTTAGTACGTCTAAAACTCTTTGATTTGCTGGGAATCAAAACATCCCTGCTGTTTTTATGTTCTGAGGGCTCAGAGCAGACCTGGCTGTACATTTGCTTACACTCCCAGTGGTTGTGACCATAGAAGCACCCACATTTCCCTCCTGAAGTCCCAGCCAGCCATCATCTCATCACATTTCCCAAGCATGGATGGGCACCCCCTGCCTGCCCAGAGACTGAACTGGTTCTTACCCTCATGGCCATCACCAGCAGGGGATTAATTAAGGTTATTTGCATGAGCACCAAGGGCACAGCAGATGCAGAGCTGGGCACATTTCAACCTTGCTGGAGGACAGGGCAGTTCTGGCCCTGAAGAGCTCATGGAGCAGCTCTAAAAGGCTCAGCTGCAGGAGTGACCACCAGGCACCACTGTCACAGAATTCCACAATGGTTTCTGTTGGAAGGGACATTAAAGCTCATCCCTGCCATGGCAGGGACACCTTTCACTGTCCCAGGTTGCTCCAAGCCTGGCCTTGGACACTTGCAGGGATCCAGGGGCAGTCACAGCTGCTCTGGGCACCTGTGCCAAGGCCTCATGAAAATCACATTCTGTGCTGAACACTGGAATTGTTTGAAGGCAGGAACATCCAGTAAATTGTACATAATGCAAACCATTACACAGGTTAATCCATTTAAATTTACTCTCTTGCCTTGCACTTAGTGCAGAGAGCTCCCTAATTATTTCGAGCTATTATTCCAAAATATCTTCTCAACACACCACAGCTCCTTCTCAAAAGCAGCAAAAAGCAGCATTGACTGAGGCCAGCCCCATTACCAAAACCACAGAGTCCATTTTCAGCTGCAGAATACACCATTTCCTCCCTTCATCACAAGTGTTCTCTCACAGTGAGCTTTCAGGGCACTCCTGAGCTATTTAATGATTCCCTTTCCAAAGGAGATGCCCTCAGCAGTTCCCAGCTTCCCCAGAGGACATCTTGAATGTGTTGCCTTGGCCACCTTTGTTCTGCTGTGCTGTTCTGGCCCCAGCTGTGCTGCATTAACCAGGCAGTGAGGTGCCAGTGCCCCTGGCACCAAGAATCACCCTGGGGACCAACCAGAGCCAGCTGCTACCTCCCAACTGCTGCACAAGTCAAACCTTGCCAGAATTCATCCTCTCTAAACCTGCCACTGGTCCTTGCAAGCACTCCATCTTCTGCTCCACTACCTCATCTGTTTCTTCCTCCTTGCACTTCAGTTTCAGCCTAGAGAGCAGAAAAACTGTTGTAAAAAAAGAGGATTATTTTCATCTCAGCATGGGGAAAAAAAGAGGAAAATCCCAAACTCTCAACATCATGGCCACCTCAAGTGGAAGGTGAACATGAATTCAGCATTCACCTGCATGAGGTGTGACTGTTTAAACTTAGGCAATATGGAACTGAGTGGTTTTAGAAGGACAGAACAAATTATAACTGGAAAAGTTTATGGGAAGCATTTTACCAGCTGGGCAGGAAAACAAGCCACAGCAGTGCTGAGTTGTTCCAGGCAAATCTACAATGCTAACAAGATTCCACCTCCAGAAACACCAGGAGTTGATCTGTCTAGAACTCCAGGAATCCAAGATTTTCACAGCATGACAGCTGTTAAAGACAAGCCATAATCATGTAATCTTTATACTATCTGCTGGCTACATGAGCATCTCTCTAGTGTTGACATTTTGGGATGTAATTCTCCACATAAACACATACAGGCTACTAATCCAGTCTACTCACCCATATTCAGGTTACTCTCTCTGTACAGACAGGCTGTGATTAACATGTTGAAACAACAGTGGAAGAAAAGAGGTTGGCTTGTTTTATGGCAAAGTTCAAAAGACACAGGAGCATGGATTAGACTAAAAAGTTTTATTGAAACTTGTCCAAAATCCAGTCAGGCACACAATTTATCCGTTCCACTAAGGCTCATCGTTCTGTATGGCATAAAAAATGCATCTCAACCAGTTGAAACATCAAACAACAAAATTAGCAACGTTAAGGCACTTTGAGATGTGTATTAATTCAGCAAAACTGCATAAGAATAACATTCTGCTTGGAGTGATACAATCCCTTCTGAGATTCAATTTCAAACATCCAGATTCTGTAACCCCTTGAGAGGAGAGGCAGAAGCAGGAGACAAAAGTCTCTCTCTGCCTATGAACCTCTAAGGGCAGCAGAGCCTACGGAAGGAAGTGTTACTGAATCAGGCTGCAAAGATTTCCTGTAGTACAACTGCTGAATTGCACAATAGTTCTTGCTGAGGCACAAGGTCTTCCACTCAAGAATTCTTAAGGCAAAGTATCTTTGTGAGGTGAGAGAACAAAAGGGGAGAGCAAGCAGCACATGCATTCAGTTGTAAGGCTATCAAGTGTGTCCTGTCAACATTTATCCCAGGAGCAGACATCTCTGCCCAAAGGATAAAAATGTGGAGAAAACAAGTGGAGAATGCAAGAACTTATATAGTGACCAGAAATCTGGCATTTGCTGGTTTGCCAGGGCTCTAGGCAGTAACCTGAATTAGCAACTTTGAATTCATGCAACACACAGATAGTTACATTTGTACTTTTAGTTCATGTTTTTTAAGAGTGTGAGCGTTGGCCAGTCTAAGAATTTCTTTTCCAGCTTTGAGTCAAAGTTTACAACTTAAAACATTGCAGTTGCAGCATTTGGCAAAGAAAAATTTAACTAATGAATAACTGTTCAGCATGTTGAAAAGTCCCCCTTCATCTGTGAAACAACCTCTTGCATCATACAGCAGTTGAGAACTCTTCTCAAAAATGAGACACAGCTCCAGGATTTGCACATTCCACACTGGAACCTGGAGCATGCTCCAAGGGTTGCACACAGGCTGAAGGAAAAGATTTCCAGGTGTATGAAGCTGTTTCCTGAACCATGAAAAGGCATGACAGAGAAGCTGCTGTCACCTGCTATGCACAAACAGGAAAAAAGGGGATAATTCAAGGGAAAAAAAAAAAAACATGGTAAACAGATTATCCAAGTGAATTGAAAGTACCATTTCTAGTTAGTCCATGGAAATGTAGTTTTAAGCATTATGTTCTGAATTTTGCTAGAAGCAGAGCTGCTTAAGAAGATGTAAAGCTTATGAAAGAGATTGCATCTTAACACTCTGTGTCCTTCAGAGCAAACTGCTTGCTGTGTTTAAGGCACTACATTGTCTTTGGTTCAGTGTTTAACTCAGTGTCAGCAGAGGTAGCACAAACCACACACGTTGAGCTCCTCATTCCACCACATCCAAGTTCAGAGCCAGCACCTTCCTGATGTTGCAGACTGGAATCCTTTAGCTCATTAGGAAACTGCAAAGAGCAAAATAACAAACATTCTTATTAATTGTGTAAGAAACAAAGCTGTGCAAGATTCCACTTAGCTTTTATAAATACCAAGAAAATCAGAGTGAGAAATGGGCCTGATGCTGCTACAACAAAAGTTGTCAAAAAAAACCTCACTTAAAAATGAGTTTCTAATAACTCAAAACCAAAGACAACCACATCTTCCCTTCAATAAAGTCAGCAGGAGTACCTAAGACCATTGCAGAAACCAGAATAAAAGCTGACTAGTTATTAAACAGGGAATAATTTCAGCTGTCTTTTGCTCTTGAGAAAAGCCTTCATAAAATAACAGGCTTTATTATTTAGATATTTTTAAATGAGAACACATTTCTCATAGAGAAGGCATAATATCTGTCAGTGGGTTTAGCTTCATAGACAAATTCAGCTCATTACAAATGATGTGAAATCATTAGAAACTGGTGCTTTAACATGTGCTTATTGCTTCAAAATGCATAAAAGCTAGAAAATACACCTAAGGTGTGTGTGTGCGTCTATACCAGTCAGACAGACATAGAAGTGGTCAATAACAGTACTGGACTCCTTACACAAGCAATCCCCAAATGAAGGCAGCTTTAAAGCATCAGGCATCCTCCCTGTTCTCACAAAGAAGGATTAATAATGAAGACTTACGAATATGGAAGACAGAAAAAAACATTTGTTGGGAGTATAAACTGGCTGAGATATTCTGAAAATACAAGTATTTTATAACATGCAGTGGCATGAAAAGTAGAGTTTGCTTTGGTTAGATTGAAAAATCATGATATCCATGAAACACTCATTTCTGCTGATTTTATCAACAATTATTGCTACTCTGAGAAGCCAGTGGAGCATTTTCAGAGGAGTATTTCCTGCCAAATGAGGCAGCAGAGCTGCAGGGGCTGCAGGGCCCAGGCTGCCTTACCTGTAGGGGTAGCCATGGTACTTGGATCTGAAGACAGACAGCAGCCAGCTGAAGAACAGCACCACCAAGCCAATGCCAGCAATGCACATAACTGCAAGAGATGCACAGGGAGAGGCTGAGATGGGGCAGCTGCCCCTGCAAACACCTCAGTGATTCAGGTTTCCAAAGCCTTCTGCAATGTTTACAGGTTTGGTCAGATGAGGGCTCTACTGGTGTCATTGAGAAATATGAATTAACACCAATTTTACATCAATTTTATATAAATGCTTTGAGAAAAAGTCCCTTCTCCTCCCTACTAGCAAAACACTGCAAAGCATCTTTATCTCTCTCCATCTGCCAAAAGGATTTATCTTGCAGTTTGCTAAGCAACTCCAAAAATTGTCAAAAATCCAAATGATTCTGTCAGCTTAGAGGTGGGGAGTGAACAAACCCCCCCAGTGCAAAAGCATTTCTGTTAAATCAGGGTGTATCAAACACCCTCACTAATATGTCTTTGTTCAGAGAGCAAACTGTCAGTACTCACTTTTTCTTTTCCCCACATCCATGTCAGAAGTAGCAGCTTCATGGAGAAGGACCATTCCTAAAGTAACTCCACCATCTACAAATGCTGTTTAAGGCTAACAACAAAGTACAAGAGACTCAAAACAACACTCCTAATCCCCTAAATTCAGCTCCCACACCATACCTGGGGCATTAAAACTCACTGGAAAAATCAAACACTTCCCAGCCAAATCAGCAACTATGGGGGAAAAAAAGGAACAACTGAAAGACATTCATAACATCAGCTTTTAAGAGAAAATAAATGCAAAGCTTAAAATACAAATTGGAAAGTCTTCAGGCAAAATTATTACCATGCATTTATTATCTCAGCTTGTAATGCAGCAGCATTCCTTCCCAGAGAGCTTGGTCCACTCCTACTGCTGTTCTCCACTGGAAAATCCCCAAAAGAATTCAGCTTCTGCATTCACTCAGCCAAGAGAACAAACAAAACACACGCAGTATTTAATCCAACATCCAAGGCTGTCTTTCAAGTGGCAATATTTCTTTTCTAATTCTTCAAATTAAAATAAAAAAAGAAGATTGTAAAATTAAAGAAGCACAGACAACACAAAAGGCCTGATATTTGCCAAGAATGAATCCTTGTAAAGCGAAGTAGTGAATCCAGTGGAATGAAAGACAGAAATCCCAAAGATTTCATTCCATTTCACTACTAATGGCCAGTCCCAAGTCTCCTGAAAGGAAAAATTCTTATCATTGACTGCATCAAGAATCTTTCCATTTCAGACACAGCCCACCTTCAGCACAGCAGGAAAGTGATTTGAACCCACAGAAACCTCACCAAATTTAATAATTTATGTTGTCTCCAGTAATGGGTGGGTTGGGTCTGATGGATAGCAATAACACAAATAAATATCAACAAAAAGTTTCTACTTTGAATTTGACCAAGTGGATCAAAAATACAGTAATAAAAAAAGATCAGAAGTTATCATCTAAGTCCTTGTTTTAAATTAAAAAAATTAAATAGAAGAAATCCTGAATAAAAAATAAAGAAATGCTGATACAGCTAACAAGATACAGAAGAAAGGCTCCAGAAATGACCAAAGTTACAAATGGTGGATCAAAAACATACACGTGGGAATAGAAAACCAGAACATTGAAGTTTAAGGGATTCTTAAGACCCCAAAGAAGCATTTTTTGTACAAATGAGAAAAGTAAAAGCTCTCAATCTGAAAATTTCCACTTGCCTTTCTTGACAGCATGGCAAAATCCTGCATCATTAGTAGGAACAAATGGTAAGATTATAAAAAGGTAAGCAAAGAAATAAAAGATCAGTGATAGAGGAATGAATTCAACACCAAAGCAAGAAATAAGTGACATTGAAAAGAGACATGCACAGAGGAACAGGGAGTATCCTAAAGAAACTTCTGATTCCCAAGAGATCCACAATTTTAGTGATTTATTCAGCTTGGTACTTAAATAAGAAGGTGAGAAAGCAGTAAGTATTTTTCCATTCAACTTAAAAGAAAAGCACAGCTGGCAGTGCAGAAAGGTTTTACAAGCTTCTGCATCAGTGTTAGGTGGCAATTAAACCATGACAAAGCACCACAGAAAAGGCAGCAGCATTTGCTGACCAAAAATCTGTCACCAACCCCAAGCCTCTCCCAGGAAGGATACTGAAGAGCAGAACTATATGTGTTTCTGCCACAAACTGGGCTTGGCTGCTTCCATGGATATAATTCTGTAAGAGACAAAGAGTAATTAGATTTAGAAAAGACTGGAGACAACTTTGACATGATTAACAACAGCTACAGAGCTGGAACTGGGGCTTGCATTGTTTTCTTGTTTTTTTTCAGGAGAGAGCAGAAGTTGGAGCATGAACAATTTCAGTTGTTGATCACTGATTTTTGGGGGAGCTGCAACAGAAGCAAAGATCCTTCTTCTCTTACCCTGCACAATCAGCCTCATTCAGATTACAGCAAGTGCAAGTGCAGCTACAACCTTTGTGGCCCAGATTCTCAGTCCAGCCAAGCTGGATTGTGAAAAACCACAAGATTAGTCCCTCCTGCATCCCAGTGTGATCCAAATCTGATCCATTCCCTGACTGAGATTCTTAGGTTGAGTACACTGCTGCTTAGCTTAGGGGCAATCCCTTCAATCTCTGTGTGAACCTGACTCACTTGGCTCCAGAACCATGCATTTGGAATCTTTTTCACTTCTGGGTTAACAGAAAAATTTAAATTTGGGAACAATACCATTTTTCAATCCCTAAAGGACACCCTATTATGGCTGTGACGTTGTATCTAAGTAGGAAATAAAAGTTTTATCCATTTTCTACAGAAGAATACAGAGGGCCTGACCCAAATTCCCTGAGTAAAAACATGAAAAATGCCAGTGTGTGATGTGTAAGGCCCTGAACAGATGCAATGCTCTCAGAACACTGGGACTACTTTCACAGTGCATCTCACTCCATGTTATGAACAGAGCTGTATATTTCAAATAATGTTAAAGACATTTTTCCCAAGAAAGAGATTTCATAAATCTGAGGTCACTTGATAATAATTTACCTCAAGAATCTTGAGTAAAGATGGTTTTACATGGAAGTCATGAGATGAGTGTGTGAGTTAACAAGACCAGGTTAACACATAATTGCCAGGCTCAGCAACAGGAATTTTAGCATCTAAGACTGAACCTATAAATACTTTCATTGTGCTGTAAGCAATTTAGAACTATCACATCCCTTCACCATTGGAGACACAACACATGGGCAAGACATGTTGATTTGCCTTGCTCACTGCAGGACAGGCTGGTCTCATTCACAAAGAGAGAGGCCAAAAGCAGAATTTGCACTCTGGTTTGTCTCTTAGTATCATCCTTATTCTGCAGAAAAGAAAGTGAAGGCAACACTCACCACTTGTCCTGTATGGGGATTCTTATGAGCATAGGGGGGCCCTCTGATGTGGTTCCACATCTGGCCTGATGTCATTGCTAACACAAAACACTGAAAAGAAGAAATGCTGTTTAATAAGGATTCTCTTTTATTTTTAATTGAACCTGATATCTTTTCACTTCATACCAAAATGTACTGGTTTGGAACACAGACTAAGGATTGTCCCACTTTATCTTTGTGCAAAAGGCATCTAATCAAGCATTCAGTGAGCTGAAGGGACTAAGATCACATAATGTTATCAATTTGTGAAAAAGTAAAACTAACTGTACCTCATTTCCCTTTTCCTGAACCAGTTTTAAGAATTTTGGAATCCAGAAGCTTTTGAAAACTTGAACTGCTACAAAAGTCAGTGTTACAGGGAAACAGAAGTCCTGGTGACTCACCAGAGCAGCAAAGGCCCAGCCAGTTTTGTTGTAGAGAAAATCCAGATTGCTGCCCCGCAAATACACGAGGCCTCCAATGACAGCCAGCAGCAGCCCCAGCATCAAGGGTCCAGCATAGTTTGGGGGCCTCATCACACGGATCTGAGCAGAGGACAGTGCAATTACTTTCTCTCAGCAGGATTAGACATCATACCTGCACTCCTGCTGAAAAACCCCACAACACATTGAGTGGAAAAACTATGGCACACACGTGTTCTCTAGGTAATAAATCTGACTCAGGAGGTAAGCAATGCTTCTTCCACCAGTACTGTAACTTCAGTTTTACACAACTTTACCCTGCTTAATTTTTTAGAGATTGTTTTTCTTCCACAGGAACAGAGAGCAAGAAGGAAGGACATGAGTTTTACCATCTTCTCAAATCAGCATTACACAAAATACCAGCACAGAGGCTGTGAGGAAATTCAAAGATGCAGTCGGGAGTCTGAACTAGATTTTGTAGATGAGCTCTTTAGACCTGCTCAGGAGGCACAGAGCACAAGTGATGATCCCCAGCTGGCCCTGCACAGGGGTGCTGAGGGAAGGGGTGCAGAGGGAAGGGGTGCTGGCCCTGCACAAGGAGTACTGAGGGAAGGGGTGCCGGCCCTTCACAGGGGGTGCTGGCCCTGCACAGGGGTGCTGAAGCAAGGGGTGCTGGTGTTGCACAGGGGGCATAGAGGGAAGGGGTGCTGAGGGAAGGGGGTGCTAGCCTTGCACAGGGGATCCTGAGGGAAGGAGTGCTGAGGGAAGGGGTGCTGGCATTGCACAGAGGGTGCAGAAGAAAGGGGTGCTGGCCCTGCACAGAGAGTGCTGAGGGAAAGGGTGATGAGGGAAGGAGTGCTGAGGGCAGGAGTGCTGGCCCTGCACAGGGGGTGCAGAGGGAAGGGATGCTGAGGAAAGGGGGTGCTGAGGAAAGGGGTGGCCCTGCACAAGGAGTGCTGAGGGAAGGGGTGCCGGCCCTGCACAGGGAAGGGGTGCCGGCCCTGCACAGGGAAGGGGTGCTGGCTGTGCATGGGGAAGGGGTGCCGGCCGTGCACAGGGAAGGGGTGCTGGCCGTGCACAGGGAAGGGGTGCTGGCCCTGCTCAGCTGTCTGCACTCACGTGGACGTCTGTCCTGTCGGCCACCCAGCGTGCCAGCTGCTCCGCCGCGAAGCCGCGCACCTGCAGCTCGTAGGTGTCCCCGCGCTTGGGCTTCCCCTTGGCAGGGAAGTTGATGAAAGTGGGGGCAGAGTTCATGTTCAGCTGCAGGGAGAGTTCACACAGGATACAGACTATTAAAGGACTATTTAGTGATACAATTCTATGCCATTTCTGGCTTGCAATGTTGTTTCTAAATCAGAAAAGTGAGCTCTTTGATTTAATGGCTATGACTTTTTAAAAAAAAACAGTAGGCAGCACACAGCTTGCATTTCTGTATTTCATGCACATTTTTTTGAATCTGTTTTGTCTCCAAACCCTACTTTTGATAAAAAAACCTCCAAAATAACAATCTACAATTCTAAAATATGGCATTCTAGGAAGGCCATAGCTTGATGAATGCATTTTTAATGTAACACTAAAGAAAAAATTAACAAGAGTCATAAAAAGACATCTCTCTTCAATTCTCCAGTTCAAAAGCTTCCATTTAATAAAGTATCACTGCCTAAACTGTGTGGCTGTTAAATAGAGATTAGTACCTCTTAAAAAAAAAAGTTCACATCTGCAAGACTGTAATGAACTATTAATGTGACCTACAATTCCAAGTGTACATGGAATGTTCTCACAGCTGGAGAACAAAAAAAATGTGGTCACACAATGTTAATAGAAGAGAAAAATGGCTGGGTACTTGAAAAGAAATACCAAAAGCCTAATTTATCATTCTGTAGTAATCTAAAAATTGTAATAGCTGCTCCTAATGACATCAGTGCTTTCCATCTTGCCTCTTCATGTACCACAGAATAATTCCATTAAGAACTACACCATAAGTTATTACAGGAGACAAACCCAGGGAAAAAAGTCAAAGAAACCAATTCACTCCTTGTACCTATTCCACATCTGTCAGTTCTGTTAATATTCTTACCAACACGCTAAGGCCATCTAAGGCCACGCTTTTCAGGAGTGACAGCTTTTAACTTTTCATTCCTTTGTTCACTGTTACACTAAATTATTTAACATTTTACTTTCTTTCCCAAAACCCAAACTAAATGTTAAAACAGAAAAAGCCATTACCATCTGAAAGACGTCTGAGCCCTCGTCAAAATCTACCATAGCAAAAAAAATCCTGTTGGTGAATGCACTGGAATACCTCCAGGAGTTTGCCAGAATCTGGTACTCCTCATCAGCTTGCCTGGAAAACACCAAGTGAGAGGCTGTGTCATGGGTTTGTCCCCAGCAGCTGTGCAGGCTGTAAAGCAGCTGAGGGAGCTGTGCCCACCCACCCCATCCATGAGTGCCTCCCACACCCACCCCATCCATTTTCTGGGGTTCAAAAGAAAGTTTAAGTGTTAATGAAATCATTTAAAGACAGACATTCATCTACCATCAGGGGAAGCATTTCCACCTGCTTTTTTAAATGGAAGGGCAAGATTTGTTGAGACCACAAACACAAGCTTTCTAAATGAAAGATGAACTGGAACTCAGCTGCTCATGACTTCCCAGTCCACAAAGCACCCAAATGTGGCCAGGTGTGACCTTTCTAGGTATAAAAATCACCCTTACAGACCTCTGCTACCTCCAGGTTAATACAGAAAAGCTATAATACAGTTAAGGAGCCAGGATATTGGAATTGTAAATAAGTGCCAAGCAATATATTAATTAAGAACAACATTTAAGCTGCATGGCCAGCAATAATTCTACAAACATTTCTTCAGCAGCTTATGCCTGGAAAGTTGAGCTTTCACTGTGTCTTTCTCCAGAGTAAACACTGTTTCTGCAAAGCAGGGATTACATTAGGAGGGAGATAAATCTGAGGATTATGTTTCCTCACAAACACATTACACACATTAAATTGCAAAGCCAATCCTACTGTAACTTGCCCATGTGTATTCCTGCCACCTGTGTCAAAGTGCAACCCCGTTCTTAACTTTAGTGTCCTACAAAGATCAGATGATTTTCAGGTTCTAATGTAGGACTAAAGGAGCTCATACTTGCACACAACACACTGCCTGTGAGGCTGCAGGGCAGTGAACATCACAATCACTGAGTAGTTCCTGGGAGGGGCCTTCACCAGGCGCCGGAATTTGTCTCCGTTCATTCGGATCACAGATCTCTTGCTGGTCCACTCCATCAGCTGGTTCACTTTTTCTGACAGCACCATCTGAAAATCAAGTCAGAACAATTGTTGGGTTGTTTGTTTGGTTTTTTTTCCCCAGTCTCACAGTACAGTCTTAGAAATTTTTATATTTGATGCAACAAATATCTGCACTGCTTTCCATAATGCCGCCCAGGTGATGTGATACCTCAGTAAGGCATTCACAGAGGCTTTTGACAGTCATGTTAAAATAATTCATTAACTTCAACCACCCAGTAACACACTGAGCTTCAAGCACTCAGCATGGCCAGGCTGGTGAAGACCCTCAGCTCAGCAGCCCCTCCTCACAGTAGCTGCAGGATTTCTTTCAGCAGAACCAACACCTCCATCCCCTCCACAGCCTTTTTGCCATACTAAGCATCAAACTATTTCAGCTTTCAAAAATTGTTCCACCAGAGATGGAACCGAGCTCAACCTCTCATTTTCAGCACTGGTGAAAAAAAAAGAACCATAATTCAGAAAACATTTGAAAAACTCAGGAGTGCTCGACACTAAAATATTCCTTCAAAAGGAGATAATCAATCCTGTAACATTTTAAGAAGAGGCGTTAGTCTGACAAACTCACAAATGTTACATTTATCATAAAGCACTTCTCTACTCATTAACACCCTTATTTAGATAAATATGTTAGAGGAAATCATCATAATATATCCTGAATTGGAAGGGAGCCAGTAGGAGCATCAAAGTCCAACTCCTGACCGTGCACAGAGCAACCCCAAGAATCTCGCCATGACAATAATAATTTAAAAAATTCTTGTTCTCTGACATACAACTGACACAAGTATACACATTTATATAGAAGGATTTTTCTAAACCCTGCAGGTCAAGTGAGTGGAATTAAGTTGCACCTTAGCGACTACAACCAAAGACCACACATCCTTCCCCCCGTAAATCCCATACCCTAGGAAGACAACACTCGTACAGTGCTCCTAACAAGAACTGAAGAACTTGGGATTGAGGCCCTTCCCTCCCTGCGGGCTCCCCTCAGAGCCGGCCGAACCTCAGGGCGGGGAGCCGGGGTGAGGCGAGGCGAGGCCAGGCCACCCCGCCGGGCCCTGGCCGGTCCTGCCCTCATCCCGCACAGCGAGAACCCGGCCCGGCACAGCGCGGGAGCTCCGGGCGAGCCTCACCTCCTTCCGCCTCTGCCCCGCGGCTCCGGGCCCGCCACATCCCGCCAGCAGCAGCAGCGCCAGCGCCAGCAGCGGCACCGGCAGCGCCGCCATGGCCGCCCCGCTTCGCCCGCCCCGCCCCGCCGTTTGCGAGGCCCCGCCTACCAGACGCCGATTGGCGGAGGCGCCGGCAGGAGAGTCCTTGCCGGCCTCCGATTGGCTGAGCTTGTGGGAGCGCGGCGAGCTGGAGCCGTGCCATTGGTGGAGCCCCGAGGGGTGGGCGGGGCGAGCCCTGAGGGAGGGGCGGAGCGGGCCCTGAGGGAGGAAAGTGTGCCGGGAGCCCCGGAGGTGATGGCAGCCGTGGGGAGCCCTCAGCTGGATCGCAGAACCCTGCGGCTCGAAGGCACTTCTGCAGCTCACCCGAGACAGGGATTCCCGGCAGGTGACAGTGTTGCCCGCTAAGATACCGGATTCGCTGCCCGCTGTGCAACAAGGCATTAATTACACACTCAGAGAGATTGATTTATATGAGTTGTGCTAGCCTTGAGTGCTTAGTGGTATTCCACAAATCAAGCACGCCAGCTCTCAAAACTTTTTACTGTTTATAGGTTTTAACAGAGGAATTTGTGTTCACTGGGTAATGTAGTAATGCAGTTCTCTCATTAATTAGTATTCTATCTTCTATTTGTGAAATACAAAGCTGTGTTTCGTGACAGGTACATACAGGCAATGTGTGTATTTGTGATAGTGATATGTGTGGAAACCGCCATGGGACAGTTATAAAGACAAATTCTAATAATAACTGAGGAAGTAAAGCGTGGAAGAAGGCCTTTGAACCTATCCTTTGTTTGCAATTAACCTTTAGAAGTCTGAAGTTGATTTAGGAGCATTTGAATTAAAGTTTTAAGATGTTGCTCTTTGACAGGAACCTTCTGCTTGCAGCTAAGCCTGCAAGAGTTTTGCAATAATAACCTTTTGAAGTATAATTTTAAAATATTGCTGGTATCCTTGAAACTATAGCTTTGGAATGTATATAAAGGAAACATGCTTATCTCATGCCTTAACCAAACAGTGAAAAGCAGCTTGAGAAAGAAAGATGAACATCAACTCAAGGGTTAATAGTTTCAACCAAGGGAAGCTGGACATCACTGTTATGAGGTTTAAAGTCTTTGCAATCAAAAGGTGGACCCACATCTGGAATCTGGACCTCACCAGCTGGGATACTCCTTTTCTGGGATACATCGTGAGAAAAACTAAATCACAATAGTGTATAGAATTGTGACGTAAAAACTTCCCCCACTGTGCCCAGCACAGTATTGCTCATACTTTACCATATTAATAAATTCATTGCTGTTTGAATATTGGCCTAGTCAAGCTTCTCATTTATAAAATGTTAGTCAATGCTTCTCTTTGCTTCCCATACTAACTAGTGCACAGGTTGTGACTTTCTCTTCCTTTTGCTTGGTGGGTTGGTGGTTGTGATCTGTCCCTGCTGGAATTCCCTTTCACCAGTTGGAACTGATTTCAGCCCAGTTGCTGAGTTGGCTTTGTTAGTGTCTTCCTTATCGTAGGAGTGCTGCAAAATATTTTTGTGAGCCATACATTCTGCATTCTTTGTGTCTGCAATCAGTGGCACATCCTCCTTCCCAAGTTTTTTTAAACTCCCCCTAAGCCTGAGATAATTGGAACATGTCAAGCCCTAAACCTTAACAAGGTAGTTCTACCAAAAAGTAATTTTTTTCCAACATCTGGATATCACTTAGAGCTTGATACCTGCTGTTTCATGGATTAAATATCCTTCCTTGTTGATTAGGCTAGATAGTACACAAAGATCAAACATCAAAGAACATCCTTTCTTAAGAAAATCTTACATACTCCACATTTTGAAACAACACAAATGCTTGCAGATGGGTTTTGAGTGTCTCCAAAGAGGGGGATTCCCCTTGCCTGGGCAGCTGTTCCAGTGCTCTGCCACCCTCAGTGTGATGAAGTTCTCCCTCTTGCCTCAGATACATGCTTCATGTTATACACACACGCTATAAATTGCTGGGTTCTGTGTTAAAATATTGTTAAAATCCAAATGCACAGAGAAATGCCTCAGCTGGTGTGTGCTGGGTTAAGGCTCTGATGCAGAATCCCCAGTGAGGGATGAGGATTTACTCACTGTTATAAATGAGAAGCTTGACTAGGCCAATATTCAAGCAGCAATCAATTTATTAATGTGATAAAGAATGAGCAATGCAGCGCTGGGTACAGTGGGGGAGGTTCTCTCTCCAACTGCACACCCATAGTTGGGGCTTACAGGTATTTATAGGGGTTCTCATCAGCTTTCTCAGCAGTTTCTATTCCAAATTTTTACATCACAACTCTATACACTATTGTGATTTAGTTTTTCTCAGGATGTATCAGAAAAGGAATATCCCCAGATGCTGGGGTCCAGCTTCCAAGAGAAGAAAGAAGTCTCCCAGCTGGTGAGGTCCAGATTCCAGATGTGGATCCACCTTTTGATTGCAAGGACTGTAAACCTCATAACAGTGATGTCCAGCTTCCCTTGGTTGAAACTATTAATCCTTGAGTTGATGTTCATCTTCCTTTCTCAAGCTGCTTTTCACTGTTTTGTTGATGCATGAGATAAACGTATTTCCTTTTTATATATTCTGAAGTTATAGTTTCAAAGATCCTTATTACAAGCAATATTTTAAAATTATACTTCAAAAGGTTATTATTGCAAAACTCTTGCAGGCTTAACTACAAGCAGAAAGTTCCTGTCTAAAAGCAACATCCTTAAAGCTTTAATTCGAATCTCCTAAATCAGCTTAAGACTTCTAAAGGTTAGTTGCAAACAAAGGATAGGTTCAAAGGCCTTCCATGCTTTCCTTCCTCAGTTATGTTAGAATTCATCTTTATAACTGTCCCATGGTCAGTTTCCACACATATCACAATCACAAATACACAGGTTGCCAGTAGCTACCTGACACCAAACACAGCTTGGTATTTCACATCACGTTTCTGGTTTTATTTTTAAATTATTTCGGATTTCTATTTGCGCTGAAACCCCAGATTTTTTTCCAACTCGGCGCTTTCACAAATTTAAATTAACCCACACAGCGAGGGGGGAAAAAAGTGGTGTCAGAAGTGGGATTCGAACCCACGCCTCCATACGGAGACCAGAACACCCAACCCCGCTGACGGGAAAGCGCGGAACGCCTTGAGTCTGGCGCCTTAGACCACTCGGCCATCCTGACACTGCGATTGCTGGCGTGTCCGGGACAAAGTTAGCGCTGTCACCAGGGCTCAATTCTCTTCTCCGTGCCCTCGGGTTTATCACAGGGCGCCCGTCTGTACCCGGGAGGTGGCGGACAGCAGCCAGGGAACGGCCAGCTCGGCCCGGCCCGGCCGCGGAGCTCAGCCGCAGCGAGGAGGAGCCCAGCGTTACCCACAGGCCCCCGCCGCGCCGCCACTTCCGCCGCGACCATTTTGTTCTTCAGCGGCGTCAAGGGTACGCGCTCGGCTCTCATCATGTTCCCGCTGGCCAGGGCCGCGCAGAGCCTCGTTGGTAAGCGCAGGGTCGGCTCTCGGGGTGTGGGGGCTTCCTCAGGGGTCTCCCCGGTTTGTGCCTTCCCCTGTGCGGGTTGTCCCTCAGCCCCCACTCGCTGTGCACCGGGGATGGTCGTGAGGGCACCTCAGGGGCTGCAGGCGGCTCTGGCGTCCTTCGCCTCCCGCTTTTTTTTTATTTCTTTCAGCCTTTTTTAATCTCCTACTTGCTTTCTGGTTTAGGACTGCTTTCTCTCCCTAGTATTAAAGGCACATCCTGGCCTGGTAGCGTGCGGTGACAAGGGGCAGTCAATACCCAGCCCTTAAAGTCAAGGTTAGAGTTGGCCCTTCAGTGATACCGAGCCAGCAGGGTCTGTTCAGTTGGTCCTTGGTGCTTGCTTTCCCTAGTACATTAAAGCACATTCCTTGGTGCTTGCTTTCCCTAGTACTAAAGGCACATTCTGGCCTGGTAGCGTGCGGTGACAAGGGGCAGTCAATACCCAGCCTTTAAAGTCAAGGTTAGAGTTGGCCCTTCAGTGATACGGACCCAGCAGGGTCTGTTCTCTGCTCCTGCGGCACCATGGGCTCATCCCATGCAGGCACCTAAAATAAATGCATCTCTGTAGATACTCAGGCTTTTTTGTGTTTAAATAAACGCCTTGTGCAGCCTTACAGAGCATGCGAGGTTTGTAGTAACATGGGTATCACCAGCATCTTCTCTAATCACGGTGGGGTAAAAATGCAAACCGTTGACCTGAGACTGAAAGGTTTTATTTTGTAATATCTTTATGCACACATCATCCTCTCATCAAATGCTTTGTGCACAACTAATGGGCAATCTGTCTTTTGTACCTGTTGTTTTGATTTTTCACTGTTGCCTTCCCTTTGATAAGTGCATCTTTTATAGTGTACACTTATAATGTACGTCATCTAAAGATATCACTTTGTATTTTTTTCTCTATTATTTTTCTCATGCCCACGGGTTATTTCAATTTCCTTCCTCCCCTGTCTTCAAAAAAACAAATCCTGAGGGAATGAGGCAGGAATTACCCCATAATTTGATGGTGAGCTTCAGCCTGACATTGCCTGGGTACACATTCTGCCAGGATAGATATTTGCATATAGAAATCTAAAAATGCTAAGCACTAAACAAAATATTTGATGAGAGAAACAGTAATCAAATCAATATTGAAGAAAAAGTTAACTTAGGGGATTTTTTTTTTTTACTGGAATTAGACTTAAGGAATAACTTTCTAGAGAGATATTGAGAGAGCTGAAAAAAATTAAAGTATTTTGTTTATCCCATGTTTTGGAGTAATTCCAGATGAACAAAATCCAAATTAATATTTTTCCAGCATTTTTAGTCTTTTAACACTAACACTTGCCTCTCTGTTGGTGGGAGATGAGGACTGGGGATGGTTTGAGGATGTATTTGAGTTGATTTCTGTACTTGTTGGCACCCTCAGCTCGTGGCATCCAGCACACTGCAGTGAGAGGAGCCCATCGCAAGCACGAGCCCACCTTCCATGATAAATATGGAACCATGGTCCTGCTCGGGGGAGCCTCCATGTTCACTGCTGTCTGGGGCT